TTTTTTTTTGGTCTCCTGGCCCCCAATTCCTTTTTCCCTTCGTCTGTTTTCCTTTCCCAATTTGCAGTCTCCTTCTGAAGGACTTAGGGAGGCCTGGAGTGCTGATGCGGCCTGCAGCATGCCTTGCCCTGGCTCAGCCAGCAGACTAGAAAGGCTTCTAGGGTGCATCCCTGGCCCAGCAAGGCTGGTGCAGAGGCAGAGCCCCGTCCCTGTCCTCCCCTCGCCTGGAGCCGCCGCTGTGCAGGGACAGAGCCCACAGAGTGCCCCCTGGGGTTAGGTCTGCAGAGTGGAGTGTCCCTGTCCCCACGGCATGCCCACAGTCGGGCCCCTGAGCCTCGTGGGAGTGGGCAGCAGGGTTGGGAGCTCTGGGAGCTGGGGGAGGGGAGGATTAGAGAGGGGCAGTTGGAGCCCAGACCCGAGGAGGTGTGGCCCCTGTGGGTTGGGGCACCTCTGTGGATTCAGGTGCAGGGAGCTGTCCAAGCAGAGACAGAAGGGGTGACAGAAGGGTACCCTAGTCCTGCCTTGCTGAAGTCTGTCATCCTTGCTACGGAACCTGAAGACTCTGGGGATGTAGGCCAGATGACAGGGATAGCTTTTACTCAAATCTGAAAAGTTTAGCCAGCATTGCCCGTACTGGCCAGGACAAGGCCTGCAGGAGTTGGGAGCCAGGCAGCAGCCGCAGCTGGGGTCCTTCTGGTGAGGTTGCCCCACTGTGAAACAGCTTAGGCTTCTCCTCTCCTTGGAAAGGCCTCCCCTCCTCCCAGGCCTCATGCACAGCTTCTGGAAACTTCCACCCACTCCAGGGCCAAGTCTCCTTCCTTGCCAGATTCAGCCTCTTTGCTTTTCCATCTTTCTGTGCAGCCTGGGCCCAGGTGCTGAGGCTGCTCCCAGCGTAAGGCTCTGCCGGCCCGGAGGAGCGGCGAGGTGCTGTGAACTGCATGGCTAATAGCTCGGCACATCTCCCTCTCCTCTGGGCGCTGTGGTTTCTGATGTCATGGGAACTTCGCTAGGCTTGCACCGTGCTCTCTTCCTTCCTGGAGGCTCAGGCTCTGGGGCAAGAGGAGGGACCCGGGCGGACTGTCTCGTGTCTGCTGTGGTTGTCACCCCTGGCCTCTCGGGATGGACCAGCCTGGCCTTCTTCCTGAAGTGTCCTGCCTCCCGTTGGTCCCTCGCATTCCCTTTTGCCACCTGCCATGCACAGGGCACAGACAGGGCCTGCTGTGAGGCTGGGCAGGTTAGGTGTTCTGTGGCTTGGGGAGCTGGAAGAGCCACACCAGAGACTTGGGGACAGGATTGTATGTTTTTGTTTGCTTGTTTTGCAGTACCAGGGATCAAACTCAGGACCTTGTACTTGCGAGTCGGACAGCAATGCCACTGAGCTAAATCCCTGGCCCTGTTTTGTTTTTTTTGAGACAAGGTCTTGCTGTGTAGCCCAGGCTGGCCTCAAACTCATGGCGATCCCACTGCTTCAGCCTCCAAAGTTCTGGGATTGCAGGTGTGCACCACCACACTGAGTTTGGGAAGAAATTTTATTTTCCCGTGGCTGCTGGAGCTGGTGGTAGTAGCTATTGGACCCCTGTTTTGTTTTGTTTTAGCTTGGTTTTTTGAGTCAGGGTCTCACTGTGTGGTTGAGACTGACCTGGAACTCACTGTGTAGCCCAGGCTGGTCTGAACTCACAGTGATCCTCCTGCCTCAGCCTCCCGAGTGCTGGGATTACAGGTGTGCACCACCACGCCCGGCCTGGACCCCTGTTTTGGATAAGAGAGAGAGAGAGGTTTCCCTTGGGGGTGGACAAGCGAGATTATGTTTGTGAGTTAGCTTCACAGCTCGGTGCCCCCATCTCTGGCACTTGTACTTGCTTGTGTGTGTGCACCACATGGGCTGCGCTGTGGCTTAGCCTTCGTGCGTGGGTGTGTGCGTGCGTGCGACAGAAAGTGCCGTCTGCGGGGAAGCAGGGCACCCTCCCTAGTGTGGCCTCTCTCGTCCAGATGAAGACCGGGCCATTCGCAGAGCACTCCAACCAGTTGTGGAACATCAGTGCAGTCCCCTCCTGGTCCAAGGTGAACCAAGGTCTCATCCGCATGTATAAGGCGGAGGTGAGTGGGGCCGACTGGCGGGCTTGGTGGGGTGGGGCTCTTCCCACCTTGTGCAGCTGAGTTAGGGTGACACGATTGCCAGAGGCCCTTCCTTCCCTGCTGGCAGCCTGGAGTCTCCCATGGTGACCAGGAGCAAGGCAGTCATGGAATGGAGTGGCCTCCTGAAGGCATCTTTCTAAATGGTGCTATCAAGCTGTAGGTTGTAGCTGCAGGCAAGTGACACCGACCCAGGGGAGCTGGCACTTTCATGACCACTTCCGGTGCCGATGGTCCCCGTGCTCCCCCTGCTGGGAGGCTGCTGCCCTACCCCTGCCTGTTGACTTCCATCCTCTTGCAAAAAGGGTGGGAACAAACATTTTTCTACCCACATCTTGGGCTTGGCCAAGAAAGACCTGCATGCACTGTGCCGCCCTCACCTACAGTGGAGCTGTGGGCCCCCAAAGTGCCTCCTTTTGTTTCTGCCCTCAGGCTGTTGCTGGCCTTGAGTGCCTGAGTAGTCTCAGCCTGTGGCTGCCTCTCCTTCCCTCTCCTCTGGGAGGACAGCTCAAAGTCTGCTTCCTTCCTCTGTCATCAGAGGC